TTCAGACCATACTCTTTCAGTCGGTTTAGAACTTGCAACAACCGGGACTCATGTTCTTCCAGAGTTTTTGAAAAGACTATGAGGTCGTCGATGAAAACCAGCACTTGCTTCCTGTTCAGGTCTCCCATGCACCGTTCCATCAACCTCTGAAACGTGCTTGGTGTGTTGGTAATTCCCTGCGGCATCCGGTTGAATTCCCAGAATCCCAGTGGGCAGACAAAGGCGGTTTTACACTTATCAGTCTCTTCCATTCCGATTTGATAGAACCCGGATTTCAAGTCGAGCACAGAGAACCAATTTGAGCCGGTAAGTGTTGAAAAGACCTCCTCTAGGTTTGGTAAGGCGTATGCATCCTTAATCGTCTGTGAGTTAAGTTTTCGAAAGTCAATACATAGCCTTACTGTACCATCCTTCTTGCGGACTACCACTATGGGTGACGCAAATGGAGACTCAGACTCGCGGATCACCCCAGCCTCTAACAGTTCTTGAAGGTGCTTTCTCACGGCGTCAACATCTTGAGGATGTATGGGTCGAGCTCTGTGCTTGAACGGGGTGTTGTCATTCAACTTTATCTGATGTTTTACTTTTTCAGTGCTGCCATAATCAAGGTCGTGCAGAGAGAAGACTTCAGGCATGGAGTTCAACAACTTCGAGATCCTCTCTTTCCAGCTCGTAGGCAAGGGAGAATCACCAAATTCAAAGGTAAGGTTAGCACAGTTGGGCGACGGTTCCTCAGCTGTGAATTCTGAACTCTGGTGCTGCTGGTCTATGATCTTCTGAACTGCATGAACCTCTGCCAGCACAACTTTAGGAGGGACTTTTATGTCGGTTCGCGTTCCATTTCTCAGCAGAACTGACAATTTGGAGAGTCGTTTTCGAGGTAAGGTATGCAAACAGTTTGCAATCTGTAGACCACTTGGTAAAGGAATAGATGGAGGCTCAAGAGTCACCCACTTCTCTGTGTGGGGACCATATAGGTGAACAAAACCATCCAAGACTACTGTGCTTCCTGCAGGCACAACTTCAGGGGAATTTCCTTTCAACTTCACATAACCCAGAGTCTTACTACTGGCTTGTCTCCATCTAGCTTCTAGAACTTTGAGTACGGCTTGGTAACCATGGAAACTTGACTGAAAGCTAGCTGCATTCTCTTTAGCACATTTGCTGTAAAGCACATCTAGGGAATTGGTTCCAACTAGAATCTGGGAAAGGCTGGTTAAATCTGGAACCACCAGAGCCAGAGTGGGAACCTCAACTTCAGTACCAGTGAGCACTTTGGGAAATTTCAGTGTTAGCTCAATGTACCCCAGATATGGCACAGACTGTCCATTAGCTCCTTCTACCTCCAGCAAGTCTTCCAACGGCTTCAGGGGGTAGTCTGGCAAATTGGCTTCATAAATCGACTGTGGAATCGTGGTCACCTGTGACCCTGTGTCCAACAGGCAATCTACTTCTCTTCCTTCAATGGTGACCTTAGCTGTGCATTTTATTCCCACTAGTCCCTTTGGCAAGCGTTTCAATGGTGGTGCTTCACGGCTGCTCGTATCTATCAATTTGTAACATTCAGGGCGACAGTCTGAACATCTGGTCTCCATATGCCCCGCTACAGAGACCTCCTTCAGTTTAAAGGCTGGGCTGGCCTCCCATGCAGAGAGTCCCATTGGCTTTGTCGCTCTCTTAATTCAAGTCGCTTCTCTTCGACTTTGGCAGGATTTGGAGCGTTTTCGCAGTTGATAGCTAGGTGCCCATCTTCTCCGCACCGGAAACAGTACCAGGGTCGTGGTCTGTTAACTCTCAGCTGGCCCATCCTGGGACCTCTATCCGTTTCCGTGTCAAGCGGTCTCCGACTGTTAGGAGTTTGAGGCATCTTACGAGTGGCACTTTGCTCTTGTAGCTCTGCGATTTGACGCTGCAGCCTCGCAACTTCTGGTTCTTCTGCATTGTTCCGTTTCAGTCCCTGAGTAACCGACACTTTTACTGCTGCTACTTGAGTACACAATTCTCCCACCATCTTCTTCAGAGCGGTCAATTCTGCATTTTCGGAGTGACTCTTGGGATTTCCCCGATCAGGAGACTGCTTTAAGGCAATGACTTGGGCTTGGATTTCTGCGACTTGCTTCTTTAGAAGACTAGTTTCCGAGCCATCAGAACTGGGCACATCACATGAACAGGCTGATACTCGGTTGGAGAGTGCTCGTGACTTTGGGTAGGCATTAGGGGGTTTTGTCATCCCAAGATGCTTCCTCATCCGTTCCTCCTTAGAGGCGTGTTTGTCTTCGTGGGTTCGAATAAGCACTGCTAGTTCGAGGAGGGTCCAGCTGCGGCTTGGGCGTTCCCCTAATGACACAAGAAAGCCCATCGGGCGTTCCTGACAGCGTTTCATCGTCCAATCACGAAGAGTTTCGCAAGGCACACTGGGTATGATGTCATTTCCCTTTCTGTATGGGCAATTTTACCTCGTGGTAATTTTCCCGGGAGAAGTAGTAGTCAAGCGGTCATTCGATGAGAGATTATGTCTGTAAGTAGGCTATTGTTTATTTCTACAACATTGACTGGGAAGTATTCTCATTTATGTCACTGATATAGCTGTCGTGTCGTCTTAATCTTATATGGTATCCGAATCCGATATTAATAATCACGGCAATGGTTCGGTAGCCGCTAATGTCATGCTATCTCGTCTTAGCCATAGCTAATTGTAATATCTTGAGGGTTCGAATAAGGCACTGAAACCGGTGGTTGAAATAACTCAATAGCTTTTACTGGAAACTGCCAGAGAATAGCCGCATACACACACACACAACTCCGCAGCTCACGCAACGTATACTGTTTGTAGCTAGAAGCTAGAGTTTGCAGCGAAGACTAAGTTAACATTAGCACAGTAACGTTACATTGTTAAGTTGGATGTTAACGTGTTAGCTAGATACTAAGCATGTCTATAGATACTAAGAGGCATGAAGTAGCGGCCACCTACGCTGCTTCGTTATGGTGACACAGATAACTTTGGTGGGCGCGTTGCCTCGTTTTGGTGGTAGGTAACGTTATCTTTGTCTAAAATAGTCTTTTACAGATATAGCATAGAAACGGTGGTCAAACTGTACACAAAAAGCCTTTAAACACACTCAATCTCACCTGGCAAAACACCATTGATGTTATACAATGGGAAGAATAAACTTAGTGGTAATAGTAATGTTGTTGAGACAACAAAGTTTTATATTTTGAGTAAAGACCTTAATAAATCAATCCCAAAATTCGAATAGTGCGTTATGTTGTTAAAATAACTGCTTTCAGTTTGTTTAACTGTAAAAGTGATGCAAAACCAATGCTTATTCAGATGCGCAAATTTGTGTAAAATTTTTTTTTTTTCTGAATATAGAGTTGCTTGGACCTAAAAGATTTCCACGCAGGTATTTTTCACATTTGTAATCCAGGATAAATGCTAATCCAATTCAACCCTGATAATAAATTCATTTAAAATTCATAGTTTTTCATCTCAACTTCAAAGGGTGTGTGTTGTTACTGGATTCTAGAATATATTTTATGTGGGTATTGGTTTTAGTAACAGAATATATTCAGATGCAAAAGCTAAGTGCTATTTAAATTTTCTAATAGAATTATAATTTTTATCAAGCTTGTATACAAGTTCAGTAATTTCACTTAAATGGCAATTAATAATTTTCATTGCCATTTAAGTGAAATTACTGTATTTTATCAAATTTATTTCAATATATGAAATGTATTATCAGGTTTGAATTTAATATTGTTAACGTGTTAGCTAAGAGGCATGATGTAGCGGCCACGCTGCTTCTTTTTGGTGACGGATAACATTGGTGGGCACGCTTTGTTTTGGGAGCATTTTGGTGATGGTAAGTAACATTATTCTACAGGTACATATTTAATAAACGCACATTGTTTACTAACTTCGTTTTCACATAGTTTTTTAACAGAGTTTTAAGTTTCTCACCTGAAGATTTCTTGGATTCAATCAGGTAGTAGCTAGTGCTAGGAGGGGGAGAAAAGTAAGTTGAGCTTGGTTAATGTTCTCCATCTATATCTCTTATCTATAGCTACATCTGTCAATTCTGCAGAGCAGTCAGAAGCCCCAGCCCACAAGGTGTTCTGAGCAAGGATGCCAATTTCTCCACTGCCCCTTTTGCCCACTTTATAAGGGTGACTACTCAAAAGTGGAAACACATTTACAGTCCCATATGAAAACAGTGGTACAGCATGGAGGTATGTTTACTGATTCATTGGCTGATTCATTGGTTTAAATTAATAACCTTTGTTTTGATATGAAGAAGGTGAGGACACTAACCGTGGTCAAGAAGGCACTTGTGTTTGGACCAGTTATTAAAGCCTGCTTTGTTTTTTACCTTTCAGAGTTTGTGATGTATACCTGCAAATGGGGCTGCAGAAAGGAGTCCCACTACCACTGCTGTGCTTGTATTCAAATTTTTCAAAGAAAAAAAAAACTGCTTAGACACCTCAGCACATGCCACCGTCAGCCAGCAGAAGGCCAACCCCACCCTCAGCCAGCAGAAAGCCAACCCCACCCTCAGCCAGCAGAAGGCCAACCCCACCCTCAGCCAGCAGAAAGCCAACCCCATCCTCAGCCAGCAGAAAGCCAACCCCACCCTCAGCCAGCAGAAGGCCAACCCCACCCTCAGCCAGCAGAAGGCCAACCCCACCCTCAGCCAGCAGAAGGCCAACCCCACCCTCAGCCAGCAGAAGGCCAACCCCATCCTCAGCCAGCAGAAGGCCAACCCCATCCTCAGCCAGCAGAAAGCCAACCCCACCTTCAGCCAGCAGAAGGCCAACCACACCCTCAGCCAGCAGAAGGCCCACTGAACTCTATGGAGGCCATGGTAGAAGCCCGGCTTCACCCTGTGGAGGCCATGGTAGACCATCAACCAAAAAAAACAGTTGGCCTACGTTCGAGGGTCAGAAAGGTTAAGTGCACAAAGTGTGAATTAGTGCTAAATAAAAAAAATTTAAAGCAGCATATGAGACGACGCCACTCAACTGTCAAGGAGGACATTACAGCCGACCGTCATCTGGCATGTCAGCCAATAGAGATTGAAAGGGGAATATTTGCTGTTGTAAAGTCCTTCAGCAGCAATAGTGCACCCATCCATGTACAGAAGCAGACGTGGGGGACAAGCCATCAAATTCGTTGTGAGCTGGATGCCTGTGTGCGCAACACTGAGGTGATGCATAGGAGTGGGTTTATATCCTTTGATTGTGCCCATCTGCAGTCCCTGCAATACTGCCCACCACCCCTCAGCCCTCAGATAGAACTAAGGGAGGATGTTCTGAGGGACATTGTCAGTAGCAGGTGGTTCAGCGAGGAGCGGAAGAGGGCATGTCTTCTGAAAAAAACGGCGGCAAACACTGAAGGGATCCCCTTCAGTGTTGATGTTGAGGTGGGAAGCTCTTCCTCAAGAAAATATGTTTCCATTTATGAGGCAAATCTGTCTTACTATAACAAGTTTGGCAGAGTGATGGTCATGTTTGACACAGCAAATAACACGTGGCATTGCCATTGTGTTAAAGCCAAACAGGCCTGTGTCCACAAGGCCATTGCGAAATGGCACTTTTTCCAGACAAGAAAGGAGCTCTTCACGGGAGATGAGAGCGAGGATACTCAAGATAGTCAGGGCTCTGAAGACGAGGTGGAAACTGTCACCTCAAGCGATTTTCAGTATCCCCCTCGAGATCAGGATTTGGGGAGAATTGTTAGGTACATTCACAACAAGAAAAGGCTTCCTGCAGACTTGCCTGCAAATGTGTATGGGTTGACAAGTGAGTCAGACGTGCCTAAACATCTGATGCCCAAAGAGTGTGTTTGTCCTGAATGTCCTGGTGATCTTCCCCTCGGTGAACCCCTGATCATCAGCAAATCAGCAAAAATCATTACTGTCAAGGGAATCATCGAGGGTCTGTGTCACATTTGAACTAAAATTGACAGTTATTCTTCCTTTTCCAAGTTGTATATACCACTAAATGCTCTAATGATCTACTTATGCATTTCAGGTGTGACAACTTATGGGAAAAAATGCAGTAGATGTGGAATGATGGTGCGATACCAGGAATGGGAGGATGGCTTACATAACTTTAATGACAAAGTCATTCTAACCCTCCATTTTTGCCTGTATCTTCGGAACTGCCTCCAGGTCAAATGTTAAATTCAATACGTGAAATTTATGTGATTTATGAATATTATGTGACCATACTGCATGTTAAATGCGTAACTCTGATATTACATATCTTTATGCACAGTAGGCCATTAATTAAGCAATTAGAACTCAGGTGCAGGATGAGGCTTCTTAGCTGACAGTCATGACATTAGGCCATTAAATACATAATTGGAACTTTCCCAGTTGCACACTTGCATGGAATTACATTTTCTAATTTATTATTGTTTTATTCCAGACTCACACAGCTCTGGGTCGAGCCATCGAGACATGGGAGCTGACGTCGGGACAGCAGTACCCAAACAAAAATAGCCTAATACATGGATACCTACATTTTGAAGCACTGACAGACCACGATTATAACTTCTCCTGTGTCCGCTGTGGACATCACCCTCCTGTGGTGGTCATGGATCTCCACAAGAGCTGTGTCTTCAGCTTGGCAGGTACAATACAGGTTTTATTTGTATGGTGAACCCCTCCAGGTGGTCTAACTACAGTATATTGATATTTTTATTTTATTTTAGTCAGTGAACTAGAGGATCCACCAGATGGATTTGATGGGGAGGTGGACATTGATGAGTTCTGGGACTCTCTATGTTTAGAGAGGATTGCACGTGGTTTTGTTCCAAGTAAGTGACTTTTTAAATATATTGTTTGTTTATAATGTTTCCCAGAGAGATATAATTCCTTTGTTACCTTTTTTCCCCTGTCTTTCTCACTCCACTTTAAGAATTACAAAGTTAATTTCTAGCCATCAATGCAGACTATTTTTCTATCAGGTGATAAACAAAATCCTTTTGCCGTTAAACCTACGTACCACCACTGGGCCCCGTGGATTGGACCTCACACCCGCAAATCCAACAAGGTGCTCAATACAGAGCATGAAAAGGTCCACACAACAAGGCACCCAAAAGAACAGACAGAGATTGACGTAACAGAGGACAGGCTATTGGATGAAGTATCCAATTTGAAGGTAAACGGGTCTTTGTGTTTTTTTTGTTTTGTTTATTCTATAGAATCAATATAGCTAGTATAATTGTGTTTACAGTGTACACCTTTATTTTGGTAATCTATTACAGGTCCATGCCATCCGAAAGCTCTGCAGGGAGTGCGGAATTGATTCCCAAGGTTCCAAAATGGAATTAGTTCTAAGGCTGAGAGAAGAAATGAAAACCCGAAGCAAATTTGATAAAATCTTTCAAAAGGTTTGGGGAGCATCTGGTAAGTAAAAAAAATGTCCCAACAATGTGGATCTTTTCTCATTGGGTTTACTGGTGGCAATTTAGTTTGACTTCCTTGAACACTTGTTCTCCTCAGGTGGCTGGGCTGTTGTTATGTGCCCCTGTGGACAGGTTGTCTCGCTGAAATTTAACATTAGGGCAGAAAGTCCTAGGGACTTTACTGATTTATTGTTATCTTGGAAACACATGCCCAACATATGCATATATGACTTTGCAAGAGGTCTGGCAGTGCATGCTAACCTTAGAGAGCCTGAGACGATACCTTTCAGCCCTCATGAGGGTAGGTTGTTGGACCCCAGCCATGAAAACTTGCAGTACGCATCCAATGGTGGTATGGTTAATTTACCATGGCTTAACACTAGGAAAAATGTGCCGGACCCGGGAGGACATCCATTGACTGGGTCAGCAGACCACTATTGTCTCTATGACACATTCCATGAGGGAAACACTAAAGACCCGAAAGATATCCTCCGGAGGATAAAGATGGTACCTGAACTGGCAGGGAGAATTAACAGCCAGGTTGCAGAACAACTCTTCTCAACCATGAAAAAAAACAACTATTACATGAACATGCTCTCGCCATCTGCTCATGTTTTCATGATGCGTAATGTTATTCACAATTACAATCAGCGGAAGAACAAGAAGATCAAGGAGGAATTAAAGAAGCTTGTGACTCCTGAAATTCAGCTGTGTCTCAATGAGCATGGTCAGGCAGAATTCTGTGCCTCTCAGCCAACAGGGCTTAGCCCCGACCCAGTTGTTGCTGCCTACTCTCAACCAGTAGAGCTTAGCCCAGATCCAGTTGTTGCCGCCTCCTCTCAGCCAGCAGAAATGGGGTTTTGCTCAGACCCAGATCTTTCACCACCCTCTAAACGTAAGGAAATCTTCTATATTGTATGCATTGTATTAGTGATTGTGTATATTTATCCAATAACACATTTCCTCTCATTTTTGTCTCATCTCTTTATTTTGATTTAGGTTCAAGGTTACAGTCGCTCTCCTCAGCTGTTGACCGTACTACTCCCAACTTTACAGTTGCTGATTGGAAACGAGAACCAAACGCAAGACTCATTGAATTAGTAAGTTTGAGATTAGTTTTTGTGAATTAGACATTTTAAATATGCATGCATTCATAATGTTCTGTATATTTCCCCATAGCTGGACTATGTACTGGATATTAAGGGTGACCCTAAGGAGGAAATTGTTCAAGCCAACAACTCGATCCTCACAAGGTCTGACTTTTGGACTCTGGGCCTAGAACGAGATGTTGAAGCAACGGTAAATCTGAACCAAGTGTTTAACTGTATTTCCTATGGTGTGAGCTTATTAATTGTCTTACTAATTAATCATAGTTTTTTTTTAGATTGCAAATTGTTGTTTCAACATTATCGTCAAGGCTGCAAATGCACATGTAAGTTACATTTATTACATTTAACATAATCTGTGTATTCATGTTTCCTGACTGTATACTTTTGTTGCCTACACAAAGTGTTATGCATCTGTTTTCAAATAAAGGGCATTGCAACCGTGGCTGTGGATGCCTATGTGGTAGTCACCTGGCTTCCTCCATATGAGGCTTCTCCAATTGCTAAAATGATTGTGAGTAGTAATGTAACAGAACTTGTACCTCAGCTTTAACCTCATGTTCAAGTTCCTCTTTGAACTCTTTTTATTTTCCTCAGTGTGACTTTGCATCCAAAGACGTGGTGCTTCTCCCTGCCTGGCAGCCTGGGCACTGGACATTGTGTGTGAGTAAACCCACTCTGACTTGGCTTTTTTTCTATCTGAAATACTGTGCTGTTATTATTGAATCCTCATTCATGCTTTGTTGGTACATTTCATGCGGTACTCATACGGAGGCCCGGTCGCGCGGGCACTCTCTCTGCGGAGCCAGGCGAAAGTATACCATCTCAAAACTAAGTGCTGTCTTGCTCTCTCTTCCTCGCACATATTAATCAAAATAAATCGACACGATGGTTAGGTCGGAAGACTAAAGTGTCATGTGGAGCATTCAGAGATTACCCGCTGGGTGTGAATTGTGCTGAAATACGTTGCCTTATTTTCTCTGAAAAGCGTTCCGCACATTCAGCTGACATAAACCACACTTTAAATAAACGGAAAAAAAACTATCCAGTGATAAAATGTTTTGTGATGACACAAATCTTGTGGGATGTCCTAACCGCCGGGATAATCACACAAACGAGCACACGTCCGATAATGACACGTCCAATTCGCAAACTAATGACTCCCGTGAACCAATTTGTTTTAATGAATGGTTAAAACAACTGATCTTTCCAACACTGAACTCACAAAACGTCTGAATCGGAGTATAACTAATCGATAACCCTTTACAATAAGGTTTCATTTATTACATAAATTACATAAAGTACAGTTTTCTTACTCAAGTGTAAGCTTTAAAAAAAATAAAACCACTTGGGTTTTTTCCCCAAAAAAGCATATGACTACTTTTTTCCACACAGTGCTATCAGGAATCAATAAGAGAATCGTTAAAGAATCGGATCGATAAGTAGAATCGTCAGTGGCATTGATATTGATAAAATCTTATCAATTCCCATCCCTACTCACAACTCACCCCTGCTCAAGTTCAAACGCACAAATTACCAACGACTTCAACTCGTGCAACCAAAATAACCCACTCTGTTGTCTATTTCATTTCTAAAGACATGCGCCCGCTCAGTGTGGTTAAAAACAAAGGTTTCCGTTATATGGTGCAAATGCAAACAATGGAAATTTGCTCACTAAGAACCTGTGAAACACAATCCCAAACTGGCAGTTTGATTTGTGTACCGAATTGTTTACTTAAAGTAAACTTGTTTGACTTTTATGCACATTTCTTTTTTTTAAATATTACTTTTTCTAAAATGATAGTCCTACTTTAAAAAAAATCCAAATATATATATATCGCCTTATGCACAGTATCGAAATATATTGCAATATATTGTATCGTAATACGTATCATATCGCCAGATTCTTGCCAATACACAGCCCTAATATTTACTATAACTGTAATTTTGTTTGAAGTAAGATTTGGGTCTTTAACCAACCCTTATCTTGCCATTCCATGAAATAAAATTCTTAACAGGTTCTCAAACCAAGACTGAGGATTATGCAATATTTTGATTCAAGACACCCCAGTGGCTTTGGAGATGGCCGCTACCTAGAAATCTTCAGGTTTTTCATAGAAAGCTGACTACTGGTTCCTTATGTTCATATCTAACTCTGGGTCTTGCAGCAGTAACTATTTTTTCTATTCAAAGCAATTTCCATGTTTACACCCTTAAAGTGGTTATTCATTGGTTCACTAGAAACCTCATCTGCATCTTTACTTTAGGATTAGTTTATTTAGACCTCCCAAATACTGCTTTGAGAACCCAAGAACTTAGATACAGTATGATCATGTTTTATGTTTTTTGGAAGTATGGTAGTTCTGTTTTGGACTATACTTCCTTTTTGTTTCGTTCTGCATTTATTGTTCCTGTTCATATGTTCCAAGTCCCCACTAGGAATTGCTGCTACTCCCAGGTCACTTTTTAGCATGGGAAGGTGTAGTTCCATTTTTAAACTATGCTCTTAGAGCTCAAGGTGGGTATTAAGTCATGGTAGAGATTCAGCAATTCCTAAACGGGGTTCAATGTTACATTTGAAAGACATGAATTGCAACTAACACGTCTTCCAAAACTTTTCAGTAACCTGGCACATGCTGTGTCCAATGGACCATGGAAGTCATTTTACTTGGCTGACGAGGTAAAATTTGTGGCTGTAGCACGATTCACTGCATTTAGTAGAGTAGCGTACATAGGCAGGCCTTTTTTTATTATTATTATTATTATTTTTAATTATGATTTGATAAAGTGAAGCAGATGGACCCTAGTTGCTGCTAAATGGTGTCACACTTTTTGTATGATTAAAGCTACAAAATGAGTGTAGATATAAGTAGGCAGCATCATATAAAAGAATCATTGATAATAAATCACACACCCCTTTTACCATCACAGGGAGCATCTCCCCAGCATCAGAGCAACAGCTGTGGGGTGTTTATGCTGATGGTGAGATGCAATATTTTCAGAAGTGATAACTGATTACTAGTTTGCAGAACAACTAACACATTTGTATGTTCATTTCAGTATGCAATGTATTCTACCCTCCAAAAGCCATATGATTTCATTGAGGTGAGTTTGTTCAAATCTCAATCAGATTTGTAGTGTGAAATATAAGGCTTTTAATAATTTAGTCCAATCTGGAGGCTACAGTTAACATGCACCAATAGGCCATACACTTAACTTTGTCTGCAGGTACTGTACTCACTGGAGGAGATGGCTACATCTGTAAAAATGTACACTGCCATAGTTCCCATCAATGAGTAAACAATACTGTAACATGGATTTGTATCAGGCTATGAAGACATTTAAAGCATAACTTTACTTTCAGGTGGACATGCTCTCTATCAGGAGGTGGTGGTGTGGGCAACTGCTGGAGACCTTTACGCTTGAAAGGTGTTACATACTGCGTCCATATTTTGCTATTTAATTATATTTGGTGCTCATGAAGATGGAAGCCTATACTGATCTCATTTCTTTCTCTAGCCCTGCAAGACTAGCTGACACTAGCTGTTCATATATTGCTATTTCCTTTTATTTGGTGCTCATTAAGATGGTAGCCAATATACTGATCTCTCATTTCTTTCTCTAGCCCTGCAGGACCAGCTGACACACCCATCTCACCAGCTGACACACCCATCTCACCCTCTACATCTCCCCATGTCAGCCACCCCTTCCAATCCCTAAGCTGTCCATCAGGCACACCCATTTCAACAGAGGACAGTCCATTCCTACCACCTGTAGTCCTTCAGCGTATTATTGAAGAGACGCTGAGTTTAGACATGGCTATGCTTGGCGTGTTCAACAGAGTTTCTAAAACTTTCCAGGAACTCGCAAAGCCATTCCACCCCTCCGTTTATATTAATGAGAGTTTGGCAGGTGACCTCAAACTTAAAGACAGTCCGATGCATATAACCGTTAGAAAAATTTATAAGACTGCAGGTCGTGGCAGTGGCCTTGCACTACGCCTCAAAGGCTTTTCCAAAAGAAGGAATTGGCCGAGCGCACGCCTGGTGCTGAGGCACATGGCTTATGGCAGGTATCTGATTGAAGATGTCTGCCTACCATAGTGTTGTTCTCTGAGTCCGTGTGGTTAGAACAACGTCATCAACACTTTTATTACTCCTTTCTTTTGTTTTATTTGTGACATGTTTTATTGTGTAATCCCTTTCATTTTTGCATGCCAATAAATCTGTTTTATACTTTACGTACTACAATGTTCAAAAGTAAATTGTTCAAGAAAAATTACTGTATTTTGTGTCTTTTTTGAAAACATCTAAAGTGCCTGTGGGATGATTAAGTGAATCCTTGAGCCTTTAAAGTGCGTCTGGTAACTGGACTGGAACTGCACAATGCCCTAAGTGTTATTTTAATCTATTCATTAGCCTATTAAATTCAGACATATTCTTAGACAACTGTATTGGTTTCGGACTGGATCTCAAAGGGTTCCTTTATTTGAAGCAACTAACTTGTATCTAAGGGAGGGCCATAGAGAGAGCTGTGTCCTCAACTCGTATAAGATAATGAACATGTACTGCACAACATTCTCATTTAGCTACCATGGAGCCTCCCTAAAATGATTGTGTTGTAATAACAGTAAATTAAACCTAATCAAGCCGCTCAAAAGCTGGTTTAGTCATCTAGTTAGATGCTAGCTGACGTCTGCCTATGCTTAAAGTTAGGACTGAGATATGAACTTGTCCTACACGTAAATGTAATTTTATTAAGATGTAATTGGACTAACGTTCTGTAGATGGCTTAGCTCGCTAACGTTAGTTTTATGCTAACCGCAACATTACAGACTACTGATCTTATTTTGAAACTTCTGTTTGAGAAAAACTAACTAGCGAATGTTGTTATATTATCCCGAATAACTGGAGAATGTTGTAATATTAACCCGGATGTTGACAGTTTGCAGTTCAGCAGAAGAGGCGAAGAAGAAGGGGTGCAGTTCAGCAGAAGAGGCGAAGAAGAAGGGGGCGTTTCAGTCTGCGAAAACGGGAACCCCCACCAGCACGAGAACACCCATTTGTGGCCGCAGTTGGATGTTATTGGCTAGTTCAGCAAAAGTGGGTGGTTGGACTTCTCTTTTGTCAAGCTGAAGGTCGGCAATGAGACGATTGTCCCAACACCCTCTGCAGAATTGTTTCAGAAGGTAACGGTCATGTTCACTTTCTGCTATGCCACCTCGCCTGATTGCAGCACTCAGAATAACTTGCAAACGATGTAGGTAGTCTGACGGTTTCTCACTCTGATTTTGTAAAGTGCCCATGAGTTTGGCCAACAACTCGTCTCCGTCCTCGACAGAACCATAAACGGACTCTAAGAGCCTAAGATACACAGCAGGTAAGGCTGGAGGGCGCACATGTTTTACAATGTCGGCAGCTGGAGGTAAGAGACTGTCGAGGATTTTTCTTGTTCTGTGCAAGTCAGAAATGGAAGGATCATTTAGCAAGAAGTCAACGCTCGCACGCCAGGTGTCGAAATCGGGTTCGTTGGGAGGGCGAGGAGACCTCCCTGAGAAGACTCTCAGACGGATCGAGGTTTGCTGTGACAGGGTAGCTTCACTTGTTTTCACTATGTGTTCAACCACCATTCTCTGAACACTGGGTGGGTCCACAATGCTGGTGGGGAACACAGGGCAGGTTGTCACGGTAATACCTTCAGTGGTAGTTTCTGGAGAAGGGGGAGGAACAAACGTTGTTCTGTTCTTGGTTGGGTTTTTAGGTTCTGAGCTTTGAGTTGGTGTCACTTTCAAATTAGTCATGGGGCTACTTATTGACGATGGGGCGGTGGCCTCTGCACTCTGTGAGTCACTGCTAGAACCATGACAGCTCGCTTGCTGAGATTCTGCTGGAGCTTCATTTTCAGAATGGGTCTCTCTGAGTTTCTCCAATTCCTCTTGAAGCACACTTTGGAAGGACATTCCACTTTCTTTAGCAATGGCCTTCAATTCCTCAAGATATCCTTCAGTGGCAGTGCAGATAGAAGGTTGAGTGTAGACAGTGGCTAAGGCACGCACTCGGAAAGTAACGCCTGGGTCAGTGAGACTCCCCAAAGTCAAGGGTAGGAAGGAGAGCAAATTTTGGATTGCTGAGTTATGACTATACTCTATGATGGCATTTTGGTGAAACTCTGAAGCTGGGTCATCAATGATAATGTTACGGCTAATTGAACCAAATCTTTCTAGGTACATTTCTAACTCATTGTCTGTTTCAGTTAACGTAAGGCCTCCGACTATGAGCGCGTTTGCTACGTTAACGTTCTCCCGCTTCACAATATCCATTGTAACAGTCGAAGTTTTCGATAAGTGGTTTCTCTTGTTCTAATAATTTCCCCCTTTCTGTCTCTTTAACAGTTACCCTTGCTGCAAGACTGACTCCTGGCTGGCTCGCCAACTTCTATGTAACACGCGCGCTTAGCGGTCTTAGCACAGAATTAATTTCTATATCTCGGACCAGATTCAGAAGACTACTAAGTTCGAAAGCCTGTGTTGCAGCAAGACAGAGGGAAAGAACCACATGAAACAGATGTAGTATAAAATGGTAAGTATTTTTCTTTCTTTCGTTTTTACTTTGAAATGATTAGTTCGGAATAAAGGGAAATTTGACAAAACAACAAAGAAACAACAAAAATAAAACAATAGTTTCAAGGTAAATTACACAGGAAAACCTTCAAAATAATTCCTGGAAATCAGTTTCACTCAAAACCAAATGAATACTTAACTCTTTTGACTCTTTCAAAGAAAATTTCAAAAACAAATAGAAAATAACAAAAAAACAAAACAATAGACTTCAAAGCACAATACTCAATGACACGCTGAATAATATCAGGATTGACTCAAATGAATAGATTTCAACTCAATGTTCAGTTCACTCGTTCAGTGTCCTTTATGAACTGCAAGGCAATTCAAAGTGAACAAATGAAATGGGGAAACTCCTTCACTGATGCAACGATGTCCTTGAGGAAAAACAAAACACGAAGGCATATACACGTGGGGTCCTACCACCTCGATGAATGTGTATGGAAATGTCCAAGTTCAGAAAAATCAGGGCTGGCTCGCCAGTATCCACCAACACCGAGCTGACCTCGTTGACGGCAGAGACAGATTTCAGCTCAAACTTCTCGTTCAATTCCACAAGTCATCACAACAGGAACTCGACATAAGGGAAAAGCAAGACAACAAACAAAACAAAACAAACAAAAAACCCAACCTTGCAACGCAAGGAAGTAAGATACAATTAGTCACAATCAATTCCCTTTTTCACACATTAACATTTCAACTTGACCAATTTCTCATTAACAAATCCTTTAAAAGGACTATATATACACATATCACTGTTTGTGGCTTCTTTACCCTTAAATAAATCCCACAAATGTGAAATAAAGTGGAGAAACGACATTTGAAAATGATGTGCACTAGGTTAGCTTATAGCTCGCACCACATGGCTAGCAAAACCTCCACGTGAGCTACATTACACTCATTACGTCAATGAAATGAAAAACCATAAATAGCCACTTTTAGCAGTAGATTAATTCTCAATAAATCACTTTAAATCACATTTCTTTAACACATTTCTCAAAACTACAACAGTATCATTTAAACCCGTAAAACACAGAACAAATGTATATTATGGCTGATCAATAATTCACTCACCAAGAACGGGTATTAATCAATCGGAAACAAATCCTAGACAAGCTAGGAAACTAGGACAGATGCGATCCTCTGCTGAATCCGCAGGATTTCTTATCTAATATTGTCTTTTTATCAGAATCTACATGCATTTCACTCACGCAGCCATTTCACTCGCGGCTTTCTGCGACAACTTTCTTTCTCACTCTCCCTCGCGCTCGTCATGACGCGACAGCTGAGGGCGGGGCTAATCCGAGTTAATCGAATTAATTTATTTTTTAGTTTGTCACATTTACATGTTTTATTATTCACATTTAACCTCCTTTTCATTCAAATAAAAGTAATAATTTACTTATAAAAACCTAACTTCTGTCTTTTTCTTCCTCTTTCATAGGTTTGGTGTGCGCTCTAGTAACCTGGGTTACATGTATATGCAAGTTATTCACAAGTTTAAATGCATTCATTACTAACATAATATGTATTGGTATGAATTTCATATTAGTGTGCACGTGTATTTCATATATGTATTTTGAACATACAATAGTATACATGTATATGCGAGTAATTTATAGGTGTAGCCTATATGCACGTGTGTTATGCATTTATTGATAAGCGAAGTTTGATTTAAATCCTACGTGGCGCCTCATATGTTCTCTGTGTACTCTTACATTGTGTTCCAAATTTTAGGTTGATATCTCAAAAAATTTGCTTTTAGGAAGATCTCAGGTTTCTACCAATATTTTATGATTTTTTTTCATATGCATTGCTATTTTAAAATAAAGTTCTGTCTTTGTTATTGAAAATCAGACTAGGGGAAAAAGATTTAAGTGCACAGTGCACTACTGATCCACTACATACTGTTAATAA